CAAATCCTTGCGCTATCTTATGTGTGTGTTGCAATTCTCCTTTTGAAAATCACTCACCTAATTCTCCAAATCCCACACAAATTACGCACTCATTCATTGATCACTTGAGAAATCCGATTACCTGCTCAGTGAGCAGTCCGGCGGGCGAGTGGAGGAAGTGCTACCCTCAAAACAGTGGCATCGGCATAGGGGATATTATAGCAGACAAGCCATGGCCAGCAGATGAAGGAGGATATGTCAAGAAATTAGAAAATCAAACTGCTGAAACCGGCAGACCCCTGTGCCCCGTGTCAACCTTTATTACACAAACAAATAGATTAAACACAGCCAAAAGCAGCCGTCTCACGCCTCTCCAGTTGCTTTGTCTTGTTTTGGAGGCAAAAAAATTAAAAAAGAAAAAATAATAAAGAAACTGCAATGTAATTCCCTTTATTATTTTCAAAATTTTAGAAATTGATTTTTTCCTCGTTTTTGCTTCCAACCCGAATAAAAACGGCAATGTGTGCGGAAAGGAAAATTAAAATGAGAATGAAAAAATATGCGCCCAAAATGCAGATCCTCTAGGGAGATTATGAAACACAAACATTTTCAAACACAAGTCAGCCAATTGGCAATGTGGCACGCTACTCGTCATATGTACATATGTATGTGTATAAGTACATTACACAATTGTGGCAGAAAGGAAACCAGCATTGAAAATAACAAACACCAAAGTACAACAAGCCTCAGCCAGTCTTAAAGAATATTGTCTATGGTCATCAGCGGTTAATATCGAGGAAAGATGGACAAACGCGTCTACGCGCTTGAGGATGTGTGTGAATGTAGGAGTAAGTGTGAAAGCAAAATCTCTTAAAGACATGCCCAACAAACACAAGCGCGAGGGCGAAATCGACCAGTTTCTACTCAAAATAATTTTTTTTTTTTCTTTTTTTTTTAGTTGCAAACAATTTTTGATTATATTATTGAAGAAACTCTCTCTAGTGGAGAGTGTCGTTCGAATTTCCAAGCGCGAATCTCTATTCAATCATTTAAAAGAGCAGTGCTGAGTGAGAGGTATTGGAGTTAGGATCTGTCCTTCTATCATCGGAAGTGATCTCACTACATTTCAAGTCTCATGCATATCCATTGGGCTTGTTGGGTAAATGCTTTTATAGTTGTATGTGTTGGGTTGCCCCAAAAGAAACTGGCGATTTTTCACACAGTCCACGTTGATATTTTTTGCCTTAGAAAAACAGGTACGCCTAATTTGATTTAGATTTGTTTGTTTTGTGCCAATTTTAATATGGAGCCCACAAAAGAACACTTTGTTCTTTCCTTGAAGGGAAATACGCAGTTCAGGTTGCTAGAGAGTTGCATATTTTTTTTGGTGATAACGCATGAGAGGAAACACAGTGTCAAAGTTGGTTCGGCAAATTCCGTTCGGGAGATTTTTCACTCAAAGATAAGCCACGTTCAGGTCGGCCAAGTGAAGTTGGTAGTGACGATATCAATGCTTTAATCGAATCGGATCGTCATGTAATTGAGCGTGAGTCTGCATAGAATACGACGTTTTGGACTAGTAAAAAAAACTTGCCATTTCGGGTACAACATGAACTGAAAGAAATTCATTTAACACGCCGCTTCAACGCTTGTTTGTATGCAACTTATATGCAATGAATATGATCTCAAAACTGGAGAGGAAAATGGATTGTTTGAAATAACTTCAATCGAAAACGATCATGGTCCAAGCATGTTGACGCGACACAAGCCACTTCAAAGGCAGATATTCACTAAAAGAAGAGAATGCAGTCAGTTTGGTGGGATTGGAAGGGTGTGGTAATTTTGAGCTGCTTCCAAGGAACCAATCGATCAACTCAGATGTCTGCTGTGAAGAACTGGTCAAACATCTATCTAACAGAAGTGGCCAGAATCGGTCAATCGAAAGGGTGTCATATTCCCCCAGGACAATGCTAGACCACACACATCTTTAGTCACTGTCAGATAACCCTATGTTTCGATCTTTCCGGAACTCTTAAATGGTGAAACTTTCAAAAATGACGAGGCTATAAAAACGCATTTGGCTCAGTTTTTAGCAGATAAGGGCCAGAACTTCTGTGAGCGTGGAATAATGATGTTGCCAGAAAGATGGCAAAATGTCATTCAACAAAATGGAACTAACATAACTGATTGAAGTTCATTGTAAAATTAAAAAAAATGTATTTACTTTCTTTTAAAAAATCGGCGGTTTCTTTTGTGGCAACCAGTATACACAATGCATATACAAGCATGTCTTCTTTGTTGTTCCAAGTACGAGAGAAACACCAAAATTGCAATGTAGCATGCCACAATGAGGTAAATAGCTGTAAACTGATTATGCAATAATTCCCCGCCAAGGCACGTCGCTACACTACTGGATCGTTTTCGTCGCTGAGCCGATGGCTGTAGCGGTCATTGTTAGCGCGCAATCTTCCGAGTGCAAAGTATTACCGTCGTTTTATTGATGGTCAACGTTGTCACCAACCATCGTTACTGTTATTCTGCTGCCTTTGCTGCGCTATATACGGGTGCTTCTCTGTTTTTTTTTCTTCTTCTGAAATCGACCAATATTAATGCGAACACAAATAAGCAACAAACAGCAACAACACCGACATCGGAGCACACGATGAGGTAACCGGTGTTGCGCATGCGTAGATGACACACACATTTCTATAGAAACGGACATATGCACAGCCGGTCGGTTGGTTGGTCGTTCGGTTAGTCGATTAGGCGGACACACAGGCTGCTCCATTGTTTGTGCAAATTTGTATCGCCTTTTAGAAATCTATTTAGCACACAATGACATAGCTGCTGCAATAGCCTTATTGCTTTTTGAGTGGCCAAGTGCTGTTAGCCTTTGGACCAATTCTGTGTGCATCCGAAATATTGTACATACGCATAGGCATACATACAGACGTACATGTGGCCAAACACGCATTGTTGTTGGCATCTGTTACTGGAGAATTTATGGATCGCATGACTTTGTAGCGGGAGATCTAATGCCGCTTAGTTAGCGTCAGAGCTAAAATATGAAGAACTTTTACGCTTAGAAAGAATTCTTGCTTAATCTTGGTTATGGTCTATTGAACAACTTGTAGAAGTTATTTACAAAAAGCAGCCCGATCGACAAAAGATTCCTAAACGTAGCCTTGGAAACACCTGCTTTTATTTTATTTTACTTAATTGATTTCATTTAATTTAATTGTAATTTATTTTATTTTATTTTATTTATTTTTTGCTTTGATTAATTTTATTTTGATGATTCAAAGCCAATTTTCCCCATTGGGCTGAATGCTCACTCATAACGAGATAACCAAACGAAAAGCAGTAAAAGCAATAATTGTAATTTGATTAAAAAATTTTCGTATGTTCCGTTATGAATGTATTCAAGACAAAAAAAAGCACAATAATTTTAAGAAATAATAATATTCAATGCCGAAAAATGCGTCGACGCGCAACAATTTCCATTTGAATCCGAATACGCCCGTAAAATTCGCACTTGCCATAATCCAGCACCGCCTTCATTTACATATACGAGTACATATGTTGGTATGTACGTGTATACACAAATGTATACGCGGATACAAAGAAGGCGCATGCGCATACATTTATGCTGTTGCCGTCGGCTTGTGGGCAAAGCAAAGCGCATCGAAGGCGTAAATTAGAACCTGATTTACGCAAATTGCAGCTAAAAGAAGCCAATCGCACACAAAGGCCTACACGCACACATGCACATGGTCACAGATAAAGTACAATTGCATTCCTCATTTCCTGATTTTCATGTATCCACAACCGTATGTACACACCTATGTATATATACATTATATTTGTATGCTTACTTGCGTGTATGTAACAACAGAGCACTTCCTCACTGCCCACAGTTACCCGCTCGCAATGCCATTTGTGTAATATCAACTCATAATAAATCATCGGCCGATCGTAAAACACAAAAATTGATTGAAATCACGTACGAACTGTAATAATTTATTTCACGCTTCCAATGCGCCAATTACCAATTCCGCCAACAGCTCATCATATTAGCGTTGACGTGAATGCTGTTGCCGCAGTTACCGCTGTCGCTGCAGATCGCCAGATCAGTGGTGCTGATGCTGCGCTTCGACAGCAAAATATTCGCTGCAATTGGCTGACTGGGCAATCAACACCTGTCAATCACTTGTCCTGCGCCCGTGTACCAGCAGCAGCAGCAGCAGCAGCAACAGCAACAACAACAGAACCGCTGCCACAGGCAATGTGTGATTATCAGTACAACACCGCACGCCCCAGCCCGTGGCATCCAAGGTCGGATAGAACATTGGTATGTCTGTTGCAGCACAGGCGATGATGGCTAATCAACAAATCAGTTGCTACATTTTGTTGCAACTCAATAACAAATTGCCGCGCAATTGCACTTGCCAACTGCAACGGATCTGCAAAACATGCAAGCCGTCATTCGGTAATCCCCTACCTACCATGCTCGGCCGATCGATAGTCTGTGATATCCTTGCTGCCACTGCTGCAACTGTGGACCTTGTGAGCGCAGTGTACAGTGCGAAATCCGCAATTAAGTAATGTGCAACCGCAATAATTCTGTCATTTGCTCCAAATGTGGATGCATATGCCCACGTACAGTTTGTATGTATGTATGTATGTGTGCTTGTGTTTGAATCATGTATCTCGCATGCTGCATGTGCAGGCACACCGGTATCGGGCAGCCGGTTGTAATCTCTACCTCTTATTTAATTTGCTTATCGGCATCTGATTATGTTGGCGAATTGGCGGATTGGCGGATCAGCGGATGGGCGAGTATTCCCATTCGTTTGCAAGTTATTGGCCATCTTCTGCGCTCTCCTCTGCTCTTGTAGCGCATTAGTTGTCCGACAACCAGTTGCGTGGCACGAGAAATGATATACGAGCTTTAGAGCGCAGCACACTCATTTGCAACTGCAAATTGTTGCTCTAATCGCGCGTAATGTGAGACTGATATATTGATATTGTTCGGTTATATTTTTATTAGCCACTTACGTATATAATCGAATATGCCAATGACCAAAGGCATTGGACTGGATGAATTTAAGAAGAGCAAACATTTCTCCACATCTCAAAACATTCCTTAGCCGTTGATTGTACGTACTTTGTGCACTTTCCTAGAACCATCAGTGGAAGTACTCCATCGTTCGTGTCTTTGTACAATTTTTTCCCGAATATTATTTTTATAAGTGGTGGTGGTTTCTTTCTTCTGAGTAAACATGTTAGATGGGCACTGCAAATGAATGTCAGAGACCTTTGAATAGTTTTACAGTTCATACAGCTGAGTTAAGCTAAAACCGAATTACGAGATCTGTTGATTGATCTGTTGTCTGAATTGATACAGCCCTCCCATTTTAAATTGTCTTAAAACGGCTCTCCGGACCCTCTCTGCTCAAAAACTTTCATATCTTATCTTATGCTTCACACAGAATCAGTCACTGAGAATTGATCGTTCGCGGGATTGCTTGCGTCAATTTTTGCTTTGAAATTCTTTTGTGAGGGATCACCGGGCCGTCATGCCTTGAGAAATGGTTCGATGTTTGCTTGCTTAATTCACGTGTCACCCTACTTTCAAACTTCTTCGAATAGCCAGCTTTTTTAAATGTTTCCAAGCTACCACATAATGAATCTCTAATTCCCCGCACTCTCCTGGCAGCTTGTATGCCGGTCTTGTTTCTTAAGTTGCTAAATTCTCTCGTTCAACCAGAACGAAGTGCTTTTTGCACATTAAACAGCGGAATGGAGCTCTCACGGTAAGCCACACAATACTAAAAGACATGACATCACCTATTTCTACGGAAATGTCACTCTTATCTTCAAGAAGTAAAAGTGTCCCAATAATTTTAAAAATATGATTTTAGAATTTTACTTCTATGCAGACTTTGCTTTGATCGTTGTCAAAGACGAGTCAAGTATTTCCCAAGAATATTAAGAAATTCGTTATTCCGATAGGTATACGGCAATCATTAGTAGTAATTTTACATGTACAACATCAAACCGTCGGTTGCCTCATGATTAGAAAATGCAACAGTTTTAGATTGAAGTAATTCAGTCATTAAGAAACGTTGGAGGAATTACCCAAAATTCACAATTTATTTACTTACTTTCGAAGGCCAATACTAACTTGTCTCCTTTGTTTTCAGTTTCCATTTAAAAATGAGCTCAAATTGTGTCCAATAAGCCATCGGCACTAATGAACTCCGTCCACTTCCTCATGCTGGGCAAAGATTTGAAGACGCTAGCGATTTGCCATTCCGAAGTTAAGGCAATGAGGCACATATAACTGTACTAACCTCAGAGGTGTTCTTCTCACCTCTGCCTACAAGCCGAAACACTAAAATAATAACTGAACTAGGCGAAGCAACGAGATGATTTCACCAATGAGCATTAACGGTACATATTACGATGCTTTGAAAAGCAAAAATAAAAAAGAAGAGGAAAACTGAAAGAAAGATGTGTCGGATTTAAAAAGTAACTATTGGGAAAGATTGCCAAACGCTATGCACTAGTGCCGAACACGAATACACATGTCTACACACCGCATGTAAGCACTCATACCCGTGGCTCCACTCGCATTCTCAGTCAGGCATCAACGTCAAGATCGATGAATGTGCCGTTGAGTGGTGGAGGATGGAGCACCGCGGTGCACCGCTGTGACGGACCGCTAGTGCATCTGTTGGTGGTAAACAGCCAAAGTGGCAAACAGGGAGGCCACCACTTCTTCACTTAAAACGAAAATCCACCTAATGGTCTCCCGAAAGATATCTAAACCGCAAACACAAAAAAAAGTGAGGAAAGAATTGCCAAAAAAATCCAATTGCAACTAGCGATTCGTCTACACCGCTGCTTACTCACACCCCGCATCCACATTCCCCACGCCCACCACCCTCTGCCGCCAGCGAATGGACCATGGTTGGGCCATTGAGGACACATTAAAACGGTGCTCGCGAGTGAATCATATAAACACCATTAAGCGATGATTTCACTGCAACAAAAACAATGCAATCATCCCAGTCAGTTGGAAAATGGGCACTCGTCGGCAGTGGCGGCTTCATGCGAGTTACCACACATTGCAGTGGATACTGCACCTCGTAGGCCACTGCTGATACCTAGACTCGTACTGACTGAATGACTGAGCGGCAAAATGAGTTCGAGGGAAATGGTGAGTCCCACAAGAAATTGTTGGCCCACTGTTGACGATTTGGAATGTATGTTTGTACGTATGTATGTTGTACATATGTATGGATTTATGCTTGTGAGTGTGTGTAGTTATGGCATGTGACCATTTTTGTTGCTGCTGTTGTTATTGTTTTTTCAGTGATTATTTTCATTATTATTTTGTTGTTGTCGAAATTCCTGTTGCTGCAACATTGGCGCATCGACGTTGCTGCTTGCAGCTCTTCAGCTCCGCGGCTGGGCTGCTGACTCGCTGGCTGACTGGCTGGCTGGCAGTGGTGTTAACATTGTTAATATGAACGTTTAAATTCCTTTTATTCACTCACTTTTTATTGCATTTCCATTCGATATGTTCGAAGTGCGTCGCACGGTGCTCGGCGCGCTTCGATTTTGATGACCGATTTTTCGTTTAATTCGCTTTATGCACGCTCGTGTCGATCGAAAAATTGGATATGGCATGTAATCGACGAGTGTAACGACAGCGCGAACAACGATGCATGGCTGACTGGTGGATGATGATGGCGGTGGTGATGGCGGTGGTGGCGGCGGCGCTAATGGTGTTGACGTTGCCTTTGTAGGTGGTGCAGGCGATGAAGGCGAAGATGGAGATGGAAATCCGCGTTCGCTTTGCTTGCCATCGCTCGTGGATTTGGAGGTGGCATTGCTATTAGCGCAAATACACACACATACACGTGTATGTATGTACATATGTATTGTTTTTTTTTTGTTTGTGCGCCCATTGTTTCTACGGATTGGACATCCTTAGGCGTCATTTTGGGTTTGTCGTTTATTGTTTGTTCGAAGGTGTAAATAAATGCAATCGAAAATGCTGAATTGCAATCTCATTGATTCATAGAAAATACATAATAACAGTAATGTGTGTAAGTTTGTGTACGCACGTATGCACTCACAAGCGTCCACATTGCGAAGGTGAAGGAATAAATGCTGGGTGCGCTAGAGCTTTGGGTCACACTGTGAGGCAAAGAGGTGAATGTCCAAAATCCATTTAGACAAAATGTTGAGCTACGTCAATTCCCGACCAGATCCCATTAGAAATAAAATTGAATCAACAAAAAAAGGAAAAAAGACTTTGTTAAAGCCAATCAGAATTATTTCTAAGGTCTTTTACTTTGCATGAATTGATTATTTTTGTTATGCACCAAAAAGTACTGGTGGAAGTGATAAATGCCAGTTATTCCAGCCAGATGAGTTAAAGGCTTTATTTACCGTAGTTATAATTATCCGATTTATGTCAACTTTGTACCGTTTTGCCCGATAAATTTTTGCCTTTTCGAAGGTAATGTCTCTCTCGTAGAAACCCTTGTCCATTTGGCAAAAAGTTGGGACAGCCGCTTTTCTCGACGCCCACTCTTCACCAACGAAATCATTCGACATAAAGAGGAACAGACGATAATCACTTGCTGCGAGGTCCGAGCTATAAAGTGGATGCATAAGAACCATATAACCAAGCTCTCGGAGCTTCTGGGGAGTCATTATCGTGTTCAATGCAGTGTGATTGCTTCCTTTATACAATTCAACTGCCGACAGTGCAGCTCATAGTGTCAAAAAAAAACATCCACACCGTCAATACCGGCTTCGGCCCATTTGTGCCGGCTCCCTGCCCTTCAGCCGCGACTGTTTTCATTTGACGTTGATCCTCTTTTCATCGCCAGTCACCGTCCGTTTCAGAAATCGCTCGATTTTGTTACGATTCAGCAGTGATTCACAGATGACCCATGATGTTTTTTAGAGCTTCTTTGCGTATCCATACAGAAAAATATGGCTTTATTTCAAGTTTTTAGCACAACCTTAAGTATTTCAGCGTTAGACTTGGAAAATTTCCAATTTTCTTTTAATATTTTTTATTAATCCTGTTCATGCCTATTTTTCCTCAAATTCCACGACGGGGTCACTGCTTCTACTGTGTCTACATTCTGACACACAACACAACAATTCATTCATGCATAACATGAGCAACTATTCAATAATTCATTTCCAACAAACTTCTTAGATTTTAATTTGAATCTGATTTTTTTTATTCTCCCTTTAAATGTTCACTTCACTTGTGTTTCTATTTATGCCACGAATTCAATTCAATTAATTTCGGCTGCGAGTTCAAGCAAAAGTCAAGCGTTGCTACTGTTTGCAGATAACGAAAACTATTGTACAAATTTACAACAATACTATGTTGCAGCAGCCGCAGCCGCAGCCGCAGCCGCAGCCGCAGCAGCAAATGTGGTCGCCCAACAGCAGTCAGTGACAATATCGGAGTCAAAAATATTTTTCGATAAAAATCATCGAGCAATTCAAAAAAGAAAACTCTAATATAAATGCAAAATAAATAAAAAATTAACTAAAGAAATGCTTGACGATCGAACCAAGCAACGTGCCAAAAGTTTGCTACTGCATTTTCCAAATTATCCCTCGCAACAGCTGCCAGCCTAAGCAATATTTAGCTGAAGAACATTACCCACTTCTATACCATTTTATACCTTTCATGTACCCGAAATGGAATATCCACTTTGGTCGGAAGTATTTTTCAGAAGGAGAAGCGATAGCCCCATCTAAGTTTATACCGACCGCGTCAGAATGACGAGTTGAGCTGGTTGTGGATGCCCGTTTGTAGGCAAACTAGTCCTCTTACGGTATTTCAAGACTTAGCTTACAGTACGAACCTTTGCTGGAACTAACTATGTCCAAAGCATCCAAAGCATCTAAGAGCATGGTATGTGGTATTCTGCTTCATATGGTGGTACTGAGCATACATACCTACACGTATATCATATTACTCATGGCCCCCCACACAACCTATTTGTTCAGATATGTGGAGTCAAAAATCCATTGAATGAGCAGCTAAGAGCGTGAGGTTTAGTATATTATTATAAATGGAGTTTCGTCTTTTGCTTTAAATTTGAAGATTTCATGAAAGGTATAAAGCCTTCGGCATGACCGAACACAGCGCTTCTTTCAGCTTTATTTTTTTTTTGTTTGTTTTGCAATGTTTCATGTTTGATTTTTGTGGTTTCACTTGGAGGTGGAGGGCGATTGAGAGCCGAGCGCACGTTTTCTCTGTAACCAAATTTTTCTAACAACAAAAATATCTTGTTAAGATTTTATTTGTCAGATAGATTTATCGCAACAAATACATACAACAGTCATACGACAACAACAACGGCAACAACATGTACGAGTACATTAAATAAATATACAAGCCGCATAGTCAAGTTGCAAGTATAAATTTAATTATCATTTTATGTTAAACATTGCCACGGCAGCACAGGATCCACGGGGCCCACGTAAGCGTGAGTAATCGATGCATCGAGGGGCATAGGTAAATGAAAGAACATATCAAATATATACATACGTACAATTTACATACAGACATTGAATTGAAATATTTTTATGGCAGCATTAACAAAGGTTGCCAAAAATTAGGCTGAACTCAAGCTGCTAATTGCAGTTCGAATTTTGAAAAATTCATCAACAGTAAGAAGTCATATTTAGCAGTCTTTTAGCTTTCAAAAAGAAATTGCTACCAAAAATTGCCTAGTGGCAAAAAGGAGGTCTTCGTTCACACGCACGAGTACAAACTCCCTCCCTGCCCGCTAGACAGTAACATTTTCGAAAACTTGGTGCTTCGAGCCCTCGCAACGCTCTCTCATTGCCCAGCGCATCGAAGCCGTCCACATGGCAGTCTGTAAGTCACCTGCAGAAA